CACCGCCCCTCACAGGGCCCTCACCTGTGGGAGGCCAAGGCTTCGGTCAGGCCATACAGGTTGTGCAGGTTGTAGTGCGAGGAGAGAAACTGGTGGCTGGAGGCACAGATGGTGGTTGCCCGGAGGGTCCCACCAACCACCCCTGGAGGAGAGGGGCGGTGTTTCCGTGGAGCCTCCGCCTGGCGGGCTGGTGGCCCCCCATCCTGGGAGTACCCTCAGAACTTGGGGCTCATCCCTGTACTGTCTCCACTTTTCCAAGGCTGCCCTTTGCACACGCCAGGCTCACCTGCACCTGCCCTTGACCTGCCCTTGACCCATTTCAAGTCTTTATCCATTTTCCTAAGCCCAAGATGCCCTCCCTCACGGGGTCTCGCCTCAGCTGCATGGCTGGGGTCTGAGTTACATGGCTGGCTCTCCCACACCTGAACCTCATTCCTGGGTTCCCCCAGGGTCGGCAGCACCCATCGATTCCTCAGCAATGACAGCTTCGAGTCTCCCAAACCAAGGGACCCAGCCCTGAGCCATCAAATCCCAACAACTGGTGCCAGGGAGACGGCAGGTGGGAGAGCTCACCTGGCATGTAGGGCGGGTTCTCCAGGTCATTCTCAGGGCAGCCATCCACGGAGCCCTTCACAAAGTTGGACGGCTCGTTCATGTCCTGCAAGAGAGGCCCGGGAGGTAGGCCCTTGTCCAGGGCAAAAGGTGGAGCCAGTTCCGAAGTCTCAGGGACCCCCAGGGGCCGGGGCCACACTCACAATCCACATGCCGTCGAAGGGCACCTGGGCATGGAACTCGGCCACCATGTCCTGCCACCAGTCAAGGGCCTCGGGGTTGGTGAAGTCAGGGAAGGCAGTGGGCCCTGGCCACACCTGGATGAGAGGCCAGAGGAGAGAAGCCCAGGGTCCCCTGAGGGAGGACTCGAGGTGGCACTCCCTGTCGGGGGCCACCCCCCCCCCACTGGGACCCCACCCGGCTCTGTCCCACTGGACAACACCCTCTCCCTGAATAGCAGCCTGTTCCCACTGGCTGGGTCTCCCACTCTACCTTCCCGACCAGCGGCTGCCCGGTCTCATTGGTGATGAAAACTCCCCTCCGCAGACCCTCGTCGAAGGGGCGGTAGCTCCCTGGGGGACCGGAGCTGCTGATGGCGGGATCCTAGGGGTGAGAGGAACCAGTGAGAGAAGGGAATGCCCCAGCCCTCGGCCCAGTCACTGGGAAAAGGGGACATGCCCTTGACAGAATGTTAACCAGGCCCCGTTGCAGTACAAAGCCGTCCGTGTGTGCTGCACACCCGAGTGTGTACACACACAGGTGCACACGCTCACGTCTGCCCCATAGGGGTGGAGCCCAGGGCAGCAGCTGGCCACAGGTGGGCACACCTGGATGCAGGCTTTACCTCCGCTCCCAGGGTCCCAGGGTTTCACAGACGTTGTGCAACGAGCCCTTATTTCTTCCAGATTAAAGAGTGAAGCCTGCATCTGCTCCCTGCTCTGAGAGGCCACAGATGCTAACTGCCCTCAGAGGGGCCGAGCTGAGGAGACCACCAGCATAAAGTCAAAGGGATTTCCTCTCCCGGTGTCCACAGTGGGACCACCTGGTCTCAGCTGTCCCTCCACTCCTCCTCCTTCAGCCACGGGGCTGAGCACTTGCCCGGCTGCACCAGCCCCCGAGTCACATCCCTCTGGCTGTGGGAACTGGCCCAGGCGGGGTGTCTCTGTGGGGGGCCCCTCAGTCCTGCTGCCTTCCCACGAGACAGAGCTGACCTGGGGGGGCAGGGCCAGGAGACAGGTGCGCCCCTGCACACACCCTTCCAGAGCTGGGTGATGTCAGCTGAGCGTCTCCCCTTTGCTCTAAGCCAGTCGGGTAGCCTACAACCCAAAGGATCCTGAGCAGCAGACAGATGTCTCAGGGACCCTGACGCTGGACATCACTGGCCAGCAGAGGCCGAGTCTGCAAAGCTGACGTCCTTCCCTATCAAGGACGCTCAGAAAATGTCTCAGTGACCATGGCAGGTGTGAGGAGGGTGCCACCTGGAGTCAGAGCCACCAAGACTGGGTCAGTTTCACAGGCGGGTTGGGGGCACTCACCACAATCATCACATATCGCCGACCACCCTGGTGCAGCTCCTGTACCATGGCCGGGAAGTCCCCGAAGCCGTCCTTGTTGAACGTGAAGTCCCTCCTGGCGTCCATGTAGTCCAGGTCATTCCACTGGACATCCTGCAGCCAGGCACCGGGGTGGCTACGGGGCCTGGGGACTGTCCCCGACCAGCCCGCACCACCACCTCCGGGACCGTCCCCAGCACTCACCAGGGGGAAGCGGGCCCTGGTCATGTTCTCCACCACCTGGCGGGTGATGGCGGTGGAGGAGTAGCCCCAGCGGCAGAGGTGGAAGCCCAGGCCCCAGTACGGCGGCATGAACGGGT